TAGGCACTAATTGTTCCAACATCTTGATTGAGACCGATTTTATAGCCCTCCGCTACACTGAATCTAGTCCGAGAAATCGAAAAGTGCGGTGTTGCCGCCCTGGGAGTCCATGGACGGAGGCGAGACGAACGTGATCCACATCCGTGCCGGATAGATGAAATTCGTGAAGTTGCACGGACTGTTAGTATACCAGTGATTGCCAAGTGAGTCTTGATACGTTTTGCAGGAAATGCCTCAAACTACTACCCCAACACTTCACTTCGTCCCACTCGGGTGTAGTGTGAGAAGTTCACCCTTTACTGACGCGCAGGAACTAGCAGAACATTCTAAACTAGTTGACTACTTCGGCACTTACACTTAGATAAAACAGGTCTAGTGCCGATGCTGCGCATATAACAACATCTATACAAGAGGATCTTCTATACGTAAGAGCGCGTTCATACTCCTCGATGCGATCGCGCGATCCAGTCGCTCGTGCGATCCGACCGCGCGATCCAAATGCTGGAGCTGTCGGATCGCAATCCATGGGCGCGCTCTGAGCGATTCTTATTGGATTCTTGCGCTAATAGTTTCTCAATGTAAAAGTGGTCAAGAATTAAGAGCACCAGCTGCTGTGAAGACTGGTTCCCAGCCTTGCTTCTTTCTTTTCTGAGAGGGTGATGAACAAGTGATTGCAGGGATTGTCTCATAATGATAAGCAAAGCGTATAATGCTGTCTTTTTTCGTAACTTATAGGTTTCAGTGGCGGTTCTGGCACTATCAACTGTTATGACGACATCCTAAAATTTCGAGAAGAAACAGGAACCTCATCGGTGATGATCGCCCGAAAAGCGCTCTCGTGCCCATCAATATTCCGACGTGAAGGAGTGTTGCCGTTTGATGAAGATGTAAAGAACTTTTTAGATATGGTGAGTTTCATGTCAGCAGAATACCTTCTGATAACGTCTTCTTCTCTTATCAAAGACCATTTCTAGAACTCTGCCCTTTGAACTAGTTTTTAAATTAGGATCGATAAACACAGGGTCGAAATCCTTACGGGCCTGCACTTGCAGCCCCGTAAGAATTTCGACCCTGTGTTTATCGATCCTAATTTAAATTTCTCTTTGCGGTTGTACCATTCATGTACAGTTTGGGTGTCAGTAAGAAGATACTCGTCACGAAGGAGCGGTGTTGCAAGTTGTGTCACGTACGCGGCATTCGCACCAAAACCTTACTGATTTAATGCGAGAAAGGTGCAGTATTTCAAACTACCAATACCCCAAGGCGCAGTACCGCATTCTGATGAGCCAGAATCGCTGCAAGATCGTTCCCAGCGTAGGCCAACTAGACTTACCATTGTCAACTTAGGCCCAGACTATGTTTGTAACGATGAAAACGCTGGTTCGATAATTGGCGGGAGTTCGGCTACTCTCGAATGTCTTTGTCCTAACAGTAGTTCTCTATGAATTCGAATGGGGACGGATATGTGGCGATTAATGGATCTGATAGCATATGCTCCTTTTCGCGAGTAAACGCCCCAGTACCGAAAATTCAGGCCCCATTTCAAAATGAAATTTTCCGGTGGAACATTTGACTAAAACCTCGGGGCTGATTCAACCTCCTACAAGCGAATAGTACATTCGCTCGAAGGAACGCCTGGCGCTCGCGCGTGTGACATGGGTGCTATAGTCCGGTTTTGGCACGGCGCCCATATAGCATGTACCAGACGGTTCCGCGTTCAGCGAAGTGTGATAATGGTGTTGTGGGATTCCTGCTACTTACTTTTTTACTCCCCAATCAACTGAACTCTCCGAGTGTCCTAAATAACTCCGCTTACTTCCTATTGCCTGTAATCATTTCAGACTTTCAGGCATGTGAATACGATGAAAACTACACTATGACCAAATATGTTGTACAACGGATACTTGGGAGTAACCAGGTGAGGTATTCGTTTGAATGTCTGCATT